GATGGTCATTCCATCTTTCATTAGAACCACGTGAACCGGGATAACCCACTTACTATCGGAGATAGCATAAATAATGCCCGCTTCACGTAATTTCAAGATTTCTTTCTTGACAACCTCTTGGAGGTTGGGGTTCAATCTCCTTTGAGGCTCTAGTGAGGTCGATTGATCATCCTCAAGATGGATTCGATGCATACACAAGGAGGGTATAATACCCTTAATATCATCAATGCTATGCCCTATCACATCTTTATATTTTCTCAAAACAACAAGCAATTTTTTCCAAATCAAGACCATTTAGGGTAGCATTGACAATAATAGGATATTCCCCTTCATTACCAAGATAAGAATTTTTTAAAGAGGGGGTAAGGGGTTTTAGCTCTACCTTGGGAGGAGGCTTAGAACTCTCCTCTAATTTCTCCTCCTTTTGCTCAAGCACAACCTCTTGTTGTTGAACAACCTCATCCTCTTTGGGAGCTTCTTCCATGGCCATGACTTGCTCCTTAGCTTCTAGTGAGTGGTATTATTCCTTACATGTAAGAGCTTCAACCATAGCATCACGAGGCTTCATCATTATCCTTCCCAAGAGATCCAACTCTTCATTTACAACATCCACTCTATAACATTTCGCAACCATGGGGTCTTGAGAAACTTAGAGAACTCAAATACAATCTTCTCATGAGCTACTTCACATGTGATGGTGTTGTTTTTACAACTAATGTTTCCCCCAAAGTTTTAAGAGCATCATGACCCAAGATCAAAGGAGTGTTAACATCTTCCTCCATATCGATCACTACAAAGTCACAAAGCACGTAGATGTGCCCCACATGGATGGGAACATCCTCAAGCTTACCACAAGGTAGTTTCACCGAACAATCGGCCAATTGGATTGTTTTCCTTGTAGGGATCATCTCAATGTTAAGTTTTTGAGCAATATATAGAGGGATCAAACTAACACTTGCTCCAAGATCGGCTAAGGCACCCCTAGTTTCCATGTTTCTAATTTTGACCGGCAAGGTGAAGCTTCCCGGATCTTTTTCCTTCTTGGGCATCTTATGTTAAACAAGTTCACTCACTTGATGGGGAAGAGTGATGAGCTCATCATTGAGCTTCCTCTTGTTGGTGAGAAATTCTTTGAGGAATTTGGAGTATGAAGGCATTTATGTGACAACTTCAAGGAAAGGGAGATTGGTATGCAAACTCTTCATCACATCAACAAACTTTGCAAAAAAAAATTTTAATTTCCTCTCCGCAAGCCGGCCGGGAAATGGGACCGGTCCTTTAAGATTCCTAGCTTCACTAGAAGTTGAAGTTGTCTTCTTTTCTTTAAGCTTCCTCTTCTCCACACTCTCTTTTTTGTCAACAACTTTTTCTTCCTCAACTCTCTTATCCTGACTCACACTCTCTTCTCCTCCCTTCTTTTCCTCACTAACCTTCTCTTTGGACCTTCATACGATGTTCCCGATCTCAATGTGATTGCCTTACAAGAGTCGGGTTTCATGTTGTGAGATGGGTTAGGTTGTGGTTGCTCGGGTAGAGTAGAAGGTGAATTGAAGGATACTCTTTCAGCCAATTGGGCTAATTGAGAGTCCATCATCTTGCTATAGGCCTTGACCTCTTACATTTGTTGAATTTGGGTTTGGAGTTGTTGGCCAAAGTTTTGTAGTTGTTGGTTCATGGCTTGGTGGAGTTAGGTTTGTGTTAGATCCACTTGAGGTGCTTGATCTTGATTTATTTGAGAAACTTGGTTTTGATTGTTGTACTGGTTTTGGTTGTTGTATTGGTTGTTTCTAGGGTAGTTTCCTCTTGGGTTATGGTTTTGAGGTGGAGATAGGTTTTGGTATTAAGGGTTGGAATTGTAAGATGGTTCAGCTTGTTGATTTCATTCTTGGGGTTGAGGTGCAAATCCAGGAGGTGGTTGTTTCCATGCTACTCCACCTCTATTTCCCTTAAATCCATCTTGCCTTGTGTTATATGCCGCCATATGCTCGGGGCTCAACCCTCCACAATAAGAAGTATTGTGGTTTGTACCACCACAATTTTGACAAGAGAAAGAATGGACTTGTGAGGAGCTTGTCCTACTATTAACACTCGTGTTCAACTTGGCAAGCCCTTTTGTCAAAAGCTCAATTTGATGTTGCAATTGGTCAACCTTCTCTAATTCATACATCCCACCTTTCTTAGGTGTGTTCCTCCTTTTACCACCCCAAGAGTAATTCTTAGTTACATCTTCAATTATCACTGCAACTTCATTTTGGGGTATCTTGATCAATTGTCCACCCGCCCCCGCATCCAAGTTAGCTCTAGACATAAGTTCCAAACCATCATAGAAGAATTGCATGAGCAAGCTTTGATTGTATTCATGGTGAGGACATGCTTGTACCAACTCTTTGAACCTTTACCAAGCTTCACTAAGGCTCTTATCCGCTTCTTGTTTAAATGATGTAATTTTCCTCCTCATTTCGACGGTCTTCTCCTCGGATATGAACCTCTTCAAGAATGCCTTGACTATCTCCCTCCATACTGTGAGAGAATTTGGCTTGACTTGCTTAAGCCACTTCTTGGCCCTACCCGAAAGAGATTGTTGAAATAAGTGCATACGGATGTACTCTTGAGAAACTTGATTAGTTTGAATCATGGCACAAAGCTCAAGAAATCTATAAAGGTGCGCTATGGGATCTTCACTTTGAGAACCTGAGAATCGCTCTGCTTGTAGCATCCTTGTGTATTGAGGATGGATTGTGAAATTGGCATCCGTGACGAGTAACAAGATACCACCCGTGAGCTCATAGTCCTCCGGGTTTCCAAACTCACGAAAAAAAACTTCCTCTTCTAGTTCCGCCATTGCCTCGCTCTGAGAACTTGAAGACCAAAAATCACTCTCACTCTCAATAATACCACCAAGACTCCGGGACTCTTCTTGGTATAGCCTTCGGATTTGTCTTAATGTACGGTCGATTTCGTGATCAATGTAATGTGTAGGTGATCCTTGAGACCTCATTTGCATTCACCAAAGCTAAGCAAACAATTAGCAATGACTAGGAAGAGAGTAAATGAACAAAAGTAGAAGCAATAAATCCAATAATATCACAAGAAAGGTGCAAAACTAGTCGTTTCCCCGGCAACGGCGCCAAAAATTTGATGGCAGGATAATAGGTTGCCAACTACTATACTAGATCAAATCATACAAATTATAAACCTACACTTCCATTACCTAGATAGTGATAAGCAAGGGTCGAACCACAAAGGAAACGGGAGAATTGCACGATTAAGGTGAAATCAAGAATCTATTGCAAGGTAAAGAGGAGTAGTTCGAATTTTTGTTGTATTCTATGAGGAATTAAAGCTACCACAATTAATAAAAGCATCTAAATGAAATGAAATCAAACTAAATGAACAAAAACAATGTTGAAACACTAGATTAGAGAAATACGATCAGATCACTAGAGAGAGGGAGTTCCAATCATAATCAACTAAGGGGAACAATGAAGATTAACATGGATAAATGCCAAGGAATACAAATTCTACCCAAATAATTCATTCTCACGCAATTATTCAAGCAAGTCGATGAAATAGATCAACACTAAACTAGATCATTCTCATGCATCCAATTTAGAAATCAAGCAATGGAATTAAAGGTGCACAACAATAATTCCAAGAAATTTGAGCACAAAATCATCAACTCAAAGCAATCAATCATCAACATTATCCAAGCTAATCATGATCTTCACCCCCTTCCCTAGCTAGAAATCTAAGCTAAAGAAGAGCAATTAGCCATCAAAACTACACTAAGTATGAATTCAATCTTAACCAAACAAAACATGATTCTAATTCAAAGAAAATCAATTAAACAAGTAAAATAAAAAAAGTAGATGAAAATCAACACAATCAAAAGCAATAAAAAAAAAAGGAAAGGAAAGAGATAAGGGGTTGCTAATATGAAGCTTGATTGATGAAGAAAACATGAAATACTTGAATTAGATTGAAGGAAAACTTGAAGAAATCTTACAATGATGAAGCTTGATGATAAAAACCACTTTTTCTCTCTAAAAATCTCTATTGTTTCTCTCACTACAAAGTTCTAGTAATAACTGAAAAAATAAGATAATTCAAAAATTCAATAAAAAGTCTATTTATAGTGCTTAAGAAATCCGAAATAACGAACTAAGTTGCGCCATCTCTAGCTACACCGCGCCCTCTTTCATCTGGGTACAAACAAGAAGACCTCAAGGATTGCGCCCGTGGCCTGGAACACTGCCCCCACGGTGGCTGATGGAGAGGCCTCTCTCCACTAAGAGAGGTCGCAGTGCAGGAACAGGGGAGAGCCTGAATTCAGAGAGACCGCGCCCGCAGTGTCTAGTGTTGCGCCCGCGGTGCTTAGTGGAGATCCCTCTCTCCAGGCGCGGCCAGCCTTCTACAGGAACATCGGATGTTTTTCCCAAAGTTGAGCTCTGCGCCCGCGGTTGGTTGGAGTGTTGCGCGCCCTCTCCAATGTGCCTTCTCTCGTTCTCCATGGCCAACAAAGCTAGTCTTCTTCCTTCCAAAAGCACTAAATATCTACAAAACAAAGATAAAGATGCTAGAAAACACAAGAAGAGACAAAAGAAGAAGAAAAACACAAAAGGAAGCAAATATAACCGAAATAAGAGTAAAATGACTAGAGAAGGCACAAACAAATGACAAATGAGGGTAAATCGTCCCTAAAGAGGGGAGAAATAGTGACATAAGTGCCACTCATCATCGAGCAAGAGTAAATCAAATATGAAATTGGAATGTTATTGGAGCCGTATAATTTTGGAGAAGAAGATTTGGGTCTTTTGGATATCAATTTTGGTAATTAGTATCGTTGATATTTTCTTAGTATCAAAATATGATATTATTGCAGTAATTGGGTATATTTTGGAGGAGTATATAGAAGAAAATCAAATTGTTTTTTGAGGGGGCTTTTGGCTGGCTGATACCTTCTACAACTTTTGGGAGCTTCGTCTGAATTTTGCGGGTAGCAGCAGAACCATATAGCAGCGAATTAATTAAGGGGATTAAGCGACATCATCTCGGGATAGCAGATCCTTGTTATTTCGTGGAATTGGTATACTTTAATTTTCATTTAATTGAAATTTGTAGTAATAGAGGATTTTGTTTTGAATACAAGTGGTAGGATTTGCTAATGATTTTATTCTTAATAATCTCATTCACTTGTCAGATTTGTTAAGTGGGAACAATCGTATACAACTTGTTTCAATTCATGAAGTACTTTCTTCTTGGTTATAAGATCTTTATATTTTTCATTATTGTTATTATAGTTACTAGAATGTCTAGCTAATTCTTTATGGGTAGGGAGATATATTAAGCACTGAATTATATAATTGTAAGAAATGGTTTTGCTGTGATGCCGATATCTTGATCAAATTGATGATCTTTTTTTATCTTATGAACTAGCCAAAGAATATTTTAGATCGGCTATCTTTTGTGTACTTTGCCAGTTTTATTGCTAGAATATTAACTTGCGATCCATAATTGTCCTTGTTAATTTCCCCTAGTAGCAATTAGGTGTTTGATATGTGAGTAGTAAAGCTTGTCCGAATACCTAAGGTTATCAATCCATTAAGTTGCACGAATCCAAGCTTGTGAGATTTGTGGCTTAAATTGACCACTTCCTTGATTTAATGCAGCTAATTAATCGAGTCTAGAGAGCTTGTTCTAGATTATTAATTAGTTAGATAATATTTCGAGAGCTTATTTGGTCTATTTGCAAGTAAGAGAAGTTTCGAATATTAGATTATATTCTTTGGTTAACATTAAGGTGTAGGTGTATATATATTTTCTTATGATTCAATGATCAATTAATACTCCAATGTTATAAAACGTCTCGCGATCCCTATTTTTTTTACCCTTGATTTTAACATCTCTTAGTATAGTTTTATTAGTTTACTATTCCGAAATTATTTTCTAGTTAGTAGTATAGTTAAATAAACCATTTACTCTTTCAAACGAGGGTGTCTAACTTACGTAAGTTATAATTTGATAAATCTAATTCTCTGTGGTATCGACCCTAACTTTCCCTACTACATTTTTAGAGGTTACTATTAGGTTTATTTTTGGTAGACACGCGACAGTCGTACCAAATTTTGGTGTCGTTGCCAGGGAATTGGTGTTTTATTACATTATTTCTTGTGTTTTTACTAATTTTCCTTGCTAACTTGTCATCTAGGTGCTTGTTTTTGTATATGTGACAGAAACCTGAAGCACCAAAGATTGAGAAAATTCGCAGCAAGGAACCAGGGACTTATAATTCATCCTTTCTCTCCTTTTTCTACGTTTCACGTGGCTAAAAGCACTCGTGCTCAGATACTAGAGCAAGCTCGCCATATTCCATTGCCTCTAAGTGAAAGCTTATCATCAGAATAAGAAACGGAAGATATTTTCAAGATGGTTAACCGTACATTGAAGCATCTTGTTGTTCCTACATTTGATCCGAACTTACTCTGCATACTGGCCAATGAGACAAAATGTGAGATTAAGCCTGGTCTGATTAAAGCATTACCCACATTTTTAGGCTTCCGTAATACTAGCTCTTTGGGTTCGGTTTACATGAACGAGGCGAACAGGTTTTTGAAGGAATTTCACATGGCATGTGCAGTGATAAAACCTGCTGGTGTCACCCTAGACCAACTCATGTTAAAGGCATTTCCTTTTGCCTTGACTGATGCTGCTAAGGAATGGTTGTTTGGTTTACCTTCAGGAACCATAACAACCTAGACGCATATGCAAGAGAAATTCATAGAAAAATATTTTCCAGCATCTTTGGCAGCTAATATTAGAAAAGAAATATGTGGGATTCGATAGGAAAATGTAGAGACACTTCATGAGTATTGGGAGTGTTTCAAGAAGCTTTGTGATAGTTGTCCTAATCATCAAATCAGTGAGCAATTATTAGTACAGTATTTTTATGAAGGCCTCATAGATCCGGATAGGAACTTAATTGATGCTGCAAGTGGGGGAGCCTTGGTTGATAAGACACCCACGGAAGCAAAGAAACTGATAGAAAACATAGCTGCAAATTCTCAGTATCAAGGAGGTTAAAATATCAAATCCACTTTTGTACGTCAAGTAAATGAAGTGACGAGTTCTAACCTCAAGCAACAAGTAGCCAATCTTACTTCCTTGGTGGAGCGAGTGATGATCGAAAAAGGGCAAGAAAAAGCATGTGGTATTTGTTCAACAATAGGACATCATACTGATATGTGTTCTACTATGCAAGAGGAACAAGAGAATTCCGTTGGTGGTGTTCACGAGCCGCAAAAGCGATATGACCCTTTCTCTTAAACATACAATCCTAGGTGGAAAGATCACCCAAATCTGAGATATGGGAACAATAGACGGCAAGGAGGAAGCTCCAACTTCAAACCACCAGCCTTCTAACAGCAGCAAACATCCATTCCACCACCTAGTTTCACTCATTTTCAACCGCAATATCAACCAAGACCTCAAGGCCAGCAAGTTTTATCTCAATAACCACAATCTAGTGGCATGTCTCTAGAAGACATTGTTAAGACAATGGCCAACAACACTGTGCAATTTCAGCAAGAAACGAGAAGTGGGCTGAAGAACATAGAAAATCAAGTTTCTCAACTAGTGCCTAGCCAACCGGAGAGAAACTCTAAGGAGAATGCAAGTGCTATTTCACTTAGAAGTGGCAAGCAACTAGAGGTTCCAGCAATAAGCTAGACTGAAGTGGTGCGACAACAAGAAAAAGAAGAGACAACTGCAGTAGAGAAAGTAGAGCAGCAATCTGAGGTAAGTAATTATGCTTCTACTCATAATAATTCTTTTTCTTCTCCTGTTCCTTTTCCTAGTAGGTTAGAAACTAAAAATAAGAAGCAAGAGTTAGAAAAGGAAGTGTTGGATGTTTTTCGCAAGGTGGAGATAAACATACCTTTACTAGAAGCGATAAGACAAGTGCCACGCTATGCTAAGTTCATGAAGGATTTGTGCACTAACAAGTGGAGATTGAATGGAGATGAAAAGGTCAGCATAAGGGAGAATGTATCTGTTGTCTTATAGAGGAAAATTCCTCCAAATTCCAAGGATCCAGGTATTTTTACTATACCATGTAGAATTGGTAACTCGAGGTATGAGAGGTGTATGTAAAATGTAGGAGCTTCTATTAATGTGATGCCTTTATCTATTTTTTAAGCTCTAAACTTAGGTCCTTTGAATGATACTCGTGTTATCATTCAACTTACTGAACATTCTAATACGTACCCTATAGGGGTGATTGAGGATGTCTTGGTACAAGTAAATAAAAATGTATTTCGTGCTGATTTCTATGTGTTAGATATGCCAAATGATGAATCTCTTAATGCAGCACCGATATTATTAGGGAGACCTTTTATGAAAACATCTAGAACTAATATTGATGTTCATAGTGGGGTTCTAACCATGGACTTTGATGGGGAGGTTATTCGTTTTAATTTATTTAATGCAATGAGATACCCCTCTGATTATGAATTCGTTTCTAAGATAGATATCGTTGATGCATTAACTAAGCAAGTCTATTTTCTTTCTGGTCATGATGCATTAGATGTTGTTTTGACTAAACATGTGGAAAAAGAGCAATACACTGACCTGCAGGAACATTTTAAGCTAGAAGACGAAGTTGAAAAAGCTTTCTTTTCTCTAGAAATAAGCAAGGAAGGTATACTGATCAGTTTATGAGATTGCCTATTAGTTCTAATAGGTTATTGCCTTCCGTTGTGAAGCCACCTGAAGTGGATATAAAGCCACTGCCTGACCATCTGAAGTATGCTTTTTTAGGCAAAAATAACACTTTACCAGTCATAATTGCAAGCAATCTTACTTCAATCCAGGAGGAGAAACTTATTAAGGTGTTGGAGGAACATAAGACAGCTTTGGGGTGGACGGTTGTTGATATAAAAGGGATTAGTCCCTCTATGTGTCAACATAGATACTTATTAGAAGAGAGATCTAAACCAGTGCGGCAAGTGTAAAGGCGACTTAACCCACCAATGATGGAAGTGGTGAAGAAAGAAGTTATGAAACTTCTTGATGTGGGGGTGATATACCCAATTTCTGATAGTTCATGGGTCAATCCTTTACAGGTTGTTCCAAAAAAGTCTGGAGTCACAGTGGTGAAAAATGATAAGGGGGAAATGGTACCCACTCGAGTGCAAAATGGGTGGAGGGTCTGTGTAAATTATAGGAAACTCAATTCTATGACTCGAAAAGATCATTTTCCTTTACCTTTTATCGATCAAATGGTTGAACGTCTTGCTAGGCATGCTTATTACTATTATCTTGACAGGGTTATTCTGGCTATGTGCAGGTACATATAGCTTCGGAAGATCAAGAAAAAACGACCTCAAATGTCCATACGGTACCTTTTCCTACCGTCGCTTGCCTTTTGGATTGTGCAACGCTCCAGCTACTTTTTAGAGATGTATGGTAAGCATTTTTTCAGATTACCTTGAGAAATTCATCGAACTCTTCATTGACGACTTCACTGTACATGGAGACTCCTTTGATAGTAGCTTAGAACATCTTACATTGGTTCTCAAACAATGTCTTGAAACTAACCTTGTGCTCAATTCTGAAAAAATGAAATTTTATGGTTAAATAAAGTATAGTTTTGGGTCATATTGTGTCTTCTGATGGAATAAAAGTTGATAAAGCTAAGATAGACCTTATTTCTTCTTGCCTTATCCTAATTCTGTTCGAGAAGTACGTCCTTTTCTTGGCCATGCAGGGTTTTATCGCATGTTTATTAAAGGATTTTCAAAGATTGCACATCCGTTATGCAGACTTCTTCAAGAAGTGGAGTTTTCATTCGATGAGGCCTATAAGCAAGCATTTAACAAGCTGAAAGAGAAGTTGATCACTGCCCCTGTTCTACAACTTCCTAACTGAGAGCTTCCGTTCAAGCTGATGTGCGATGCTTCCAACTATGCTGTGGGGGTAGTATTAGGCCAGCAAGTTGGAAAGATTCCCCATGCCATCTACTATGCCTCGAGGACTTTGGATGCGGCTAAAGCTAATTATACTACAACTGAAAAAGAACTTTTTGCTATAGTTTTTTATTTAGAAAAATTCAGGTCTTATTTATTGGGTACTAAAATTGTTATGTTTACTGATCATGTAACGCTGAAATTTTTATGGTCAAAGGATGTATCCAAACCTAGGCTAATACGTTGGATTTTATTTCTTCGGTAATTTAATGTTGAAATTAGAGATAAAAAGGGTTCTGACAATAGTGTTGTTGACCATTTAAGCAGGTTAGTTATAGTTGATGAAAGCAAAGCTCCAATCAATGAAGAGTTCCCAAATGAGCAACTTCATGCCTTGAGCTCAGAAATCCCGTGGGACGCAAATCTGGTGAATTTTCTTGTATCTAGGAAGTGTCTAGAAAGTTACACTAAGGCACAAGAGGATCGAATGCAGAGCATAGCAAAGTATTACATATGGGATGACCCATATCTCTAGAAATTTTGTGCTGATCAACTTATCGGAAGGTGCGTAGCTGATTCTGAGTTTCTTCTATACTAACTTTCTGCCATTCGTATGCTTATGGAGGACATTTTGGGCCTAAGAGAACAGCACTGGAAAGCGGATTTTACTGGCCATCCATATTCAAAGATGCAAGCAATATAATGAAATGGGAGGTACAAATCCTCTAAAAGGCAAGTATGGAATTCCAATAAAATCTCTTATCTTCAATGTAATTGAATATAAGAAAGTGATTGGAAGTCTATATGATAAAAACTTGATCAAATGACATTATTCTTCTTCCATTTCATATGGAGTTAAATAGTTAATTAAACTCTAATATGAAAAGTGATTGAATAGGCTTATCAAAATCATGAAAAGTGCTTAAAAAGGTTAAGCAAAGTATCATTTTAAACCTAAGAGAAATGTTCTAAGTGGCCCAAATCGGAAGGGTTTAAGAATATGTGAGGACGACATTAAGGAGCTATAGGCTAAGAAATGCAAGCAAGTTGCTACTTCTAAAACCTAAAACTGCTTATATGCACAAATGTTTCCAATTAAATGTACCAATTCCACTTGATTAGAAAATACCTCATACAGTTAGAAGGTAAGAGAATGGAAATGTTCCAATTAAGAAGCATATTATAGAAATTTATTTAGCATATTACTACTTCTTGGACATGCGATATCATGTTTAGTTCACTAATTGAAGAATGTGGTTGAATGAAAATAAGAAGTTTGGCTAAGAAAAAAGTAAATCTACAAGTTTAAAACCAAATGTTACTACTTCACAAGTAGATTCTACAAGTTTAGAAGCAAAAAGTTGCAACTTTACAAGTAGAAATTACATTTCACCTTACCTAGTAATTGGCTAGAATTAAATAAATGTTATTTATTCTTGCCATCATCAAAACACCAATCAATGTTAGTAATGACTAAGCATTGAAGATTTAAAACATGGAGTAAATGTTATTCTATACTTATTTGAATCAAAGTGTGTTTTTAATAGCTAAATAGGTGAAAAGTTCTATATGGTAGATATAGATAAACCATTTGTATATGTATATAAATTGTCTCTAAAATATCAAATGAAAATGAACATTGCATACGGAAGATCCAAAGTGATAGACTTTCAATATCAATAGATTATGAATCTATCGATATATGTAAATATCATTCTAATTTGACAATTGACAAAGTCATCCTTTAGAGAAATGATGACATGAACTTAAGGTCAAATACATATTAATGTAAGCAAACCTAAGGTTTAATGACTAGAGACAGACAATGAAACTTCATTTGTGAAACGATCACTTGTGCTTAGTTGAAGCATAAGAGTGAAAGTTTTTGAAAAGTGCAATAGGTCCATAATGAAGTTAAGAATAACTTGGCAGAACATTTAAAGTGGTACGATCTTATCGTGGTGGCAAGTATTTGAGCCAAGAATTCAATGATCATCTAAAGGATTATGGAATTCTTTCACAATTAACTCCTCCTGGAACACCGCAATTAAACAGTATCTTAGGAAGGAGAAATCAAACATTGTTAGATATGGTTCGATCCATGATGAACATTGAGATTTCGACTTGACAAGATGATAAATACATTACAATATGATTGTAATGGTGAAAGTTTGAGCCAAGACATTTACTTGGAAAGTATTCAAAGTGTTGCGCTATGATCATAATAATAAAAATTTAAGCCAAGACCTTGATAAACATCCAAGAGTTGTGAAATCGTTTTACAATAAACTCTAAAAAACCTTGTGAAGTGTTTTTGAAAAGAGCTATCAATCTATATGAGATATAATTTGATAATGGATGAAATTACCTATCTTCCAACCATTATTCAAGGGATATACTTTTAAGGTGAGCTACAATACTAAAAAAAAAACTACATACGTCAAATCAAAATGTAGCAGAGGCTTCAGATGTGATATGGATAAGAAAAGTTCTTATAAAGTTTTTCTACAAAGCAAGGAATAAAAGTTTTATTAAATCGCTTAATACACGTTCGATTCCTATATAGAGCATGGGGTACTACTACACAAGTCATACTTAGCACAAAACGTTTGTTGCTCAAATAGATGCCCTTATGGAAAAGATGTCATTTCCAAAAGGTCAAGTGGGAGTAGTGTAAATCTCGAAAGAGTTTCGAGAAAAGCAACAAACAAACATTGTTCAAACCATGGTTGATTCACCCCATGCTAATGTGCCTCTTAAAGAAGGCTAGTAGGAGTACACGAATCTCAAAAAAGTTCGAGAGCCTCGAAGTAGTTCGAGAAGTACTCAAATAAAAGCAATAGTATGAGCATGGTTCACCTCATGTTATAAATGACAACATGCGGTCTCATTAAGTGTAATGAGAATAATAACCATGTGTCAAAGGTAGTACATTCCAAGTGCACATCCTCTATTGTCGTTATTCATTGGAAATTAAACAAAGTTGTTGTATAAGTTTCAATTGTTGCATAAAGACCCACAATAATGACTAGCATATCTAAAACTTAGCCAAAGAAATATAATTTCATATTGACTAAGAGTTCTAAAATATTGATTTCGGAACATAATGATTATGCAGGTAATAAAGATGATTTGACAAGTTAAAACTCCAAATGGTTTAAAACCATGGAAATCTGAAATAGATTTTAAGTCTGTAAGCAAGTGTATGACACTTGATTAATTTGTCTAATTGGGTAAGACCCATTATAAGCGAAACAGACAAGAAAGAAAAATGTTTTCTAAGCAAAGCAAAGACTTTTGTTAGAGGATTTAACTAATTCATAGTATGACTATGATAAAACCTTTACATTAGTCATATTGCCAAGATCGATTTATTAAAGATATTTCTAGTGAGTTCTACCTTATGAGATTTAGTATATGGATTTCAAAAACTCTTTCTTGATATTGTTCATGAAAGAAGATTTATATGTGATACAACGAGAGTAGGTTATATTCATGACTCAAGTAATCCCTCTAGCTTGAGAGAGTAGTTGGGTGCCTTAGATGACTTCCCCTAATTTATCCCCAAATTGCTATGTCTTGTATGTTAAATTGTAGTTTGTGAATGACTTAATTGGTGGATACCTTCCCAAGATCCTTTTTTATTATTGTTTGTAGTTTTTCTTCATAACTCATAACCCAAAAAGACTTGACTTAGCTTATCACAAATCGATAATTGTTAGTTCTCCCCTTAGTCCTTGTGGGATCGACCCTTACTTGCCCTTTCTACCCATTAGATAGACCAAGTTAGGTTTTTATCTTTGGTAGGCTTGACGACGGCCTATCACTTGTGATGCTGGAGTGTTCATTAAACCTACTGGTTATAGGGAAATATGACCTGTTTAGTGGAATTTATGGATCTAATCTACTTTTTGGATATATTTCTTATCTTATAACGTGGCATAGGTGAATAAAAGTGATCCTTGTGTCTTAATTTTACAATTGATGGTTGAAGATGAAGCATGGGAAAAGGATGAGAAAGAAAAGCTTTTATTTGGTAAAATAATGTAATACTCAAATTCAATAAGCTATATATTCTTCATTACAAGTGTTTCGGGGTTTTTTTTTTTATGTCCTGTGGGATAGTTACAATTCCGGGACTGGGATCCTTGCGCCTGTACCTACAAAGAAACGGAAACTCCGGTTTGTGGGAGCTCCGCCTCCGACAATCAAGTTAGAACGTGTTTTAGGAGTAAAAGGTGCGGCAAGTAAAGGTGATTTGGTTCCTCTAAGGGGAGGAGCGATCAAGGTGTGCAATTAATGCTAAGTCTGGTCTAGCAAGTAGTATGCACGAGGGTTTAGGCTTCTCTTGGTGAGATGATTCTCCTGTTTAATAGAGGCTAATTATCTGTTTATATAGCATCGAATTACGTGCCCAATACTAGGTTTTCTAGCGAAACCTAGGACTGATTGGGTTTGCCTCAGGATTCGGGCCTGTGATGGCCGTTTTCTATGTTGGCGGATTATGTGCCACATGGCGTGGCCTAATTAGTCCATGTTGGACCTCTCAGAGTGTCAAGTGGCGGACGCTAATTGGTCCACGTGGTGGACACGTGGAAGGTCCGGTTTAGTCCATTTGTGATGGGTATTTTTAACCTAAACAACAAGGAATTTTCAGATGATTCAAATTGGAGATGAAAGTAGAGTCCGAGAGCTTTCCAACGATAGCTCATATGCCAAATTTGAGCAAGAAATGAAGAAGTTATGGATGTTGAAGTTGAGTTGTCCAGGCAGTTGCGAGGAGTGCCTGCTCCCTCTATAAGGAGCGCTCGCTCCTCCAAGTGGAACGCCCGCTCCTCACAGTTGAGTGCCCACTCCAAAGGACGTCAATTGAATCTTCAGAATTGAGGAGCGCCCGCTCCCACCCTTTAGATAGGCCGCTCATGAGGCCCTGCTTCGAGCGAACAACTTCATTTATTTTGTGCTTATTTTTGCTATCTTTTTATCTTGGCCTTTCATTTGTAATCCAAGGGGTGTAATTTTTTAAGAACTTTAGGGTTTGTTTGTAAAGCCTTTAAATAGGGCTAAGCTTGCTTTTGGGAACAATTTTTGTCCATGAGGCCCAATAATGGGCTTCTTTCTTTTGTTCAATCCATCACCCTTTTGTGTGACCTTATAGGATCCATTCTATTGAGCTTTGGACTATTTGACTAACCCAAAGATCATTGATCACGTCTAGCAACAGATAATGACGATCCAAAAGAATGAACTTAA